GCAACAGGAACAGTGCTGCCGTAAGGTCGCAGGCAGGAAGAAAAGGAAGCGAGTGCTCGGTACAAAAATCTCGATACTGTCGCCAGTAGGGCTCGTATGTATGAAGAGTAGACTGTGCACGAAGATTGACTGTGAGCGTCAAGAGATCCAAAAGTAAGTGGCCGAGGTAGGAATCTGCGCAGAGGCACAGTGCTATGTATTAGTGAATAGCAAGCGAAGCGCGTACATCAATGAGTTCGGGAGACCTGCACCGCTAAAGGCATAATGGTCGTTACCAATGCGCAAACAACTAGAGCCAGGAGCAAGGCGAATGGTTGCGACCACAGCACGAGCCCAAGAGGAGCCGTCCGGGCATAACAGTGGCCACCAAAAGGCGCTAGGCCAATGCGGGATTACGAGGGTGAGCGAGGTGCGTGAGGGGCGATCGTGGGCGAGGGCAGCGGGGATCAGGGGTGGGGGAGGATTGGCATAGCAGTTGTCGCCCGACCAGCTAAGAGAAAATGCATCCTGCGCGACTACCGCGTGAGAGAGCTCGAGCGAACAAAAACGAGCCAGCTGCGCATTAGCCGGGGAAGCGAACAAATCAATAGTATAAGGACCCCAACGCCTCTCTAGCAGAAGGAACCAAGGTCGTGCGAGAGAGAAATTGTCGAGAAGATCCAACTTGGAAAGTGCGTCGGCTTCTGTATTAAGGGTGCGTGGGATCCACTGGACTGTGAGTCGTATTTGGTGGCGCATGCAAAGGTGGATAATAGCTCGGCATGTAAGAGTCAACTCAAGCCGGCGGGAACCCCCTTTCTTCATAATGTAATAGGCCGCTTGGCTGTCGCTGCGGAGCAAGACATGCAAGCATCGGACCTCGTCAAGAAAGGTTGAAAGTGCCCAAAGGATGCCAGCAAGTTCGCGGAGCGTGCTGGACAAAGAGACGAGGGCCCGCGGGAGTGGTGAAGCATGCGAACCGGCGTGGCCGTCCGGCGCTGAAAAACACGCGCCCCATGCACGATCACGGGCATCCACATACATTATGATGTTGTAGAGATGAGGATTGTGGAAGCGCGAGCCATTGAAGACATCGAACTGGGTGAGCGAGAAAAGCAACTCGTCAAGAGAGTCGGGTGTCAAGAGAATGGACGCCCCCCAAGAGTGACACTCAGAGATCTGAGAGAAAAGATTGTGGGAGAAGGCACGAGCGACCGTGCCAAGCGCGAGCGCCATGGAGGCTAGCAAGCCACTGATGCGAGCAGCCCGACGGACTGGGATAGGCCGCCCTTGTGTGCTAAGTGTACATGTTTTCTCAAGTTCGGCGAAGAGTCGCTCGCGTCTGCCGGCATCGACGGAGAAAGACGTGGTGCAAGTGTCCAGCAGGAGACCCAAAAACTTTAGGCACTGGGTTGGTTCAAGCTGCAACTTCTTGAAGTTGACAGCGAAGCCAGCTGATTGACGATCCGCTAAAATGACGGCACGATGGCGAAGGGCCTCGGCTCAAGTAGCGTTGATGAACAAAATGTCATCGACGTATGGGATAAGTCGGATGCCGCATCCGCGCCAACGTTTTGCGAGCTGCTTGATCAGCTAAGTAAAAACGAACGGCGCTATAGCTAGACCAAAAGGCAATGATAGAAACTGGTAGCGCTGCCCTTGAAGTGTAAAACCGAGGAAACGCCAATACGAGGGATGGATATCCACATGGTGTTAACCCGATTTGAGATCGATGGTGAATAGCCAATCGTCTTGCTGCACCAAGTCAGGCACATGATTCAAGCCCTCGTAGCGAAAACGGGGGACGGAAAGAAATGAGTTCACGTGGCAGAGGTCCAATATGAGCCTCTTTTTGGAACGTTGGACAACTACGTTCAGTGGGCTGATGCATGTAAGTGGCTCCGATGGAGGAACGAGCCGGGCCGCTCCCGTAGCTAGAAGCTCGTCCACCGCCTCCACCGCGAATGTGTGGAATTGGAGTGCCCCGGCATGGTTTGAGGCGTGCCATACTGTAGGCTCTGAAGAAGACCAGGGGATGCGATAGACTGACGCGAGGATCGATAGCATGAAGCGGCTATCGCACCAACCGGACCACCATGCAAAGCAGGCACACAGGCGTCCTCGCATACGGATTGTATCAGCCGATGTGGCAACATGTGCGGCAAAGGAACCAAACTCTGGTGTGCGGCAGTGACGAACAAGTACAGTAAAAAACCGCAAGGGCCAGATGTAAGTTATCGTTCTCGAAAGCACAAATACGTTTGCCAAAGTATTCGTAGCATGAGAAGTGTGCTCGAAATAGTCGAAGCGTAAGCAATAATGAAGGCAACACTTTTCGCAGTGTGCGCACCAACGATCTTACAATCTTTTGTCATGCTTTCATCGGTGTGACGGTGCGTGTTCCAATATTCTATGTGCGTTTTGTACCTTCTTGACTGCCTCTCTTTTTCCGCACGTCTGCCTTTCTCTTGCTTCCCCCTCCCCCTTTTCATTTATTTATTTTATTTTAACATGCACATGTTGAATAGCGTATTGCCGTATTATATTCGAAGCGGATTTGAGCCGCGTGCTTGATCACCAATTCGCACAACATCAATCTTTAGCATGAAATAATATATTTATTGCATCAAGGATTTACAAAGAAGCGGCCATCAAAGCCTCTAGACACTCTTAGCTGGCCGATTGGCCCCTTGGCCTCGTCGAGGACAATCTTTAAACCATGACCGGGTTCACGACAGTAAAAGCATCGACAGTCGCCATCTCGATGCCACGTATTCCAAGTATGTGCGTCTTCAGCCTTTCTACGAGGGGGGGGGGGGTCGGTGCGGGATGTCGAGGTGGTGGGTCTAGTGGGCCTCTTGTAGCGGCCTTCACATTTTTATCTTCCACCACCTCCCCATACTTAATATTTAGGGCCATATTGGCCACTTCAAACCCGCGTTGATCTACGGTGAATAAGAAATGAATCTTTTTATCCGTCTCCTCGACTATCTGCTGGAGATATTCGGCGACTAACTCGCCACCACTAGGGGGCAAAGTGGAGAGCGCGTGCCGAGCAATAGCTTGGATACGCTTGAAGCTAAAAAGTTGGGTTCGAATGCCGTCACTTTTTACCAAAGAAGAATGCAACTGAGGATGTGCAGGAGGGATGGGAGTAAGATTCGGGATGGTAGAACCAGACTTGAGATGAGCGACGTTACCTTCGTCGAGGGTTTCCATGGGCGCGTCATCGTCCGCGCCATCGCCCTCGGGTTCGGCCGCGACGGGAGGAGGGCGGGAGCGTGGTACTGCTGCTGCTGCAGGTCGAGCAGGTGCAGGGGGTGGTGCTGGATCACCGGTTTGTCCGCGCTGAAGGGCCACGAGAAGACCGATGACGTGCTAAATTGCGTCATTATTAGCATTGTCATTGTTGATCTAACAAGCAGGAATTTCTTCTGCAGATCGGGGCGCTGTAGAAGCAGAGGAGCGCACTGTAACGCGTTCACCAATTGCAGCACCCATGAAGATTTGATGGAAATTTCGCTGGGTGGCGGGGTCCAGACGCGCCATCATTTCGGCGAAATTTGCAACTCCCTTGGCGATGATGACAGGATCCTGCTGTGTGCGCTAATTTGTCGGGAGAGACTCCAAGTCGGTGTGGGCGTCCGGATTCTGGCGATTGCCATGATCCTGGCGCTCCTGGCGATTTGCGTGCTGGTCAAGATTCTGACGATCCGGTTCCTGGTGCGTCTGGTCACACCCACGATTCTGCTCATCATTTCGACATGCGCGCCTTGGATCGCAATGATCATTGCAATCCTCGCGCGCAGGACTGTCATGATTGCGGCCGAGGGGTGCCGCGCGCAACTGTTCTACGGGTGGCGGGGCGTTTTCTCCTACCGGATTCAAGTCGACACGTTCTCGTTCGTCACGCCACTCGCCGCGAAACCCGAGGGGAAAATTGCGACCATTAGAAGCGTTACGATCTCCGACAGGAGCCAATCCGGGTTGCTGAACGGGGTTTTGCCGAGCGCCATTCAGCAAATCCAATGCAGTAACAGAAGCGTTTCTGTTGCATGGAGAGCGGAAACGATCATGCTGAGAATACAAAGCTTGACTTCCCTTACGCACAGGGGAGCCACGTCGTCCGTTGCTCCTGAGATTCTTTCTTGAAACAGGAGGAAAACGTGCGGCAATCACGTCCGGTCATGGTAGAAAAACGTGCTGCAGAAACCATTCCTCCAGTCATGGTAGAAAAACGTGCGGCAATCACGTCCGCAAGTAGCGTGCTCCTATGCCCAGGTCTGGGCATAGGAGGGGTTTAGAGTGTGCTGGTGGAAAGCAATCAGAGAAGAGAAATGAGAATGAGACTAGGTGGCAGGTCCATCGTATCAACTTATACATATATTGTTATGTAAAATTTATAGGCTAGATAGGGTATGTTCTAAGTGGGTACAACCCGAACACTATATCTCCCCTGTTCTCCCTTCTTCTATTAATTCTTTCTAGTCTTAACATGGTATCACGAGTTGGTAGGTCCACTCACCCGCTTCCGCCCTGTGCCGCCACCTACCGGACCCTCGCGCCCCTAGTTGGCCTCGCATGCCCCTACGGCCCCGTCGCGCCCCTAGCAGGCCACGTCGCACCCTTACAGCCCCGTCGCGCCCCTACGGTCCCGTCGCGCCCCTAGTCGGCCCCGTCGCGCCCCTACCGGCCCCGTCGCTCTCCTACGGCCCTATCGCGCCCCTAGCCGGCTCCGTCACGCCCGTACCGGCCCCTTGTGCCCCTAGCCGGCCCCGCGCGCCACTACGGCCCCTCGCACCCCTAGCCAACCCAGTCGCGCCCCTACCGGCCCCTCGCGCCCCTAGCTGGCCCCGTCGCGCCCCTACCGGCTTCCGCGCCCCTAGCCGGCCCCTCGCGCCCCTACGGCCCCTCGTGCTCCGGGTTTAGGGTTTACGGCACCCGTTCTTCGCTTGGACGCTGAGGGGCACGCGATTGACTTCGCCCCCTGGCTCTGTTGTGTGATGTCATCATATGCTATCACATTCTGTCTGCCTCTCATCTCTTGTTTTCAACTTGCATGTGTGGCTTGAATGTGTGCAAGAATTTGTGTGTGATGTGTTCTGGAGTTTGGGAATGTGTTTTGTGTTATTTTTGTTTGAGCAGGTATTTGTGATGATAGATCTTGAGAAGATCTTTCCGACGCAACGAGAATCCCTTCAATCGGAGCAAGAACGCGAAAGCTATGAAGATTCAAAGTTCTTGAGCTTGCGTTACAATTGCGGCGGTTACAAAGTGAAGTTGTGGGGTGACTCACAATGGAGTTGGGACCTTTGGGGTTGGGGAAATTTGTCACTCTACTGTAACAGCTGCAAATTGGTTGGGAACAACCAAGCTAGGTTGGCAAGGGTGGCCAACTTGGATGGATTGGTTGGGAAGGGACAAATGTCAAAGTTGGGGTTCCTATAGGGAGGGAATCTTTGTGCTTATGGGGTTCCCTTGGTTGGGGACTCTCTTGGGACCTTCCCTCTCGTCCCTCTCTTTCTATCCCAACCTTTCTCTTGCTCCTCTAATTCCTTGTGAGATTCTTGAACTTTGATTGAACTCTTGAGATTGAGTTAAGTTCTCCTCCTACAGCTTACCCCCTAGTGCGTCGAAAGCCATAGCGTCGCGAATACTTCATCAATCAACATGATTCAAATTGGGAACGGTAGCTGAGATTAAGAGATACAACATATCCAAGTTTCGCGACATTCCAACGGCTATTTTTTCGTCGACGTCGTTTCTTGTGAAGACGACTTTTCTGTCCAGAATTTCGGATTTATATTTTGAGTAATTCTAGCTCCTAAGTTCACCTAGACTCCGTCCTTAATCCTAACAAGTGGTATCAGAGCCATATTAAGGACATTGAGAGGAGTCTACAGAAGTGTGAAGACCCTTCTAGACCCACCATGGCCTGTGGGTGTGCCTAAGTGGTGTTCTAAAGGTTGGATGTGTCTTCCGCTAAGGGGAAACTCTGCCGAAATTTCGTGGACGCCGATACTTGTGAAAATATCGAGGGAGCTGAGTGTGGACAGCAAAGGGGAGCTGAAATTCGTCATTTCTCAAGGAGAAGATGAATGAGAGAGGAGGAGATGCTAATGGAAGAGGAGCTGTAGCTGAGAAGACAAGTGAGCCGCCGCCATCAAAAGTTGAAGCTTTGGATGGCTCCAACTATGAGGAATGGAGCGGACGGATGAGGAGTGCCTTCAAACGCTACAAGCTACTGAAGATTGCTGTTGGGGAAGAGAAGATGCCGGAAGAAGGCGAAGCACGCGAACGGTGGATTGAGAAAAGCGCGGTGCTTTTCGACCTCATCCTTCAATCGGTCAACAAGGAGATGTTCGAGCACATCAAGGATCTTGTGGAAGCGGATGATTCGGGTCCAAGGGCGTGGAAACTACTACGTGATGTGATTCAGCCCAACACTCTCCCAATGGTGATCGTGCTCGAGAAGGAACTTGCTGCCATCTCCATGCGACCAGGGGACGATGTGAAGCCGGTCCTTGACAAGATCAAGGACACCTATGCAAGGATGGCAGCAGCGGGCAGTAGTGTATCTCAGCTGCAGCAGTGCACCAAGATCATCTCGGTGTTGGACAACTCTTGGGACAACCTCATCCCCACCCTCAACTCTCAGCAAGATCAATGGACACCTGAGTGGCTAAGGCAGCAGATTCTGCAGGAGGACTTCCGCAGACGCCATGTGGGAGGCGGTGCTGCCACTAAGACTGCTGAGGGGTATGGAGCTGCAGGGCGCGGCAGAGGAAGAGGGGGTTGGAGAGGCCGAGGCCGTGGGAGAAGCTTTGGCAGAGGTAGAGGCCGAGGTGACTATAATGAGGGGCATGGGAGCTCCAGTGGCAGGGGGAGTACCAGAATGGAGGGCACCTGCTGGTACTGCAAGAAGGTCGGGCATCCTTGGTTCAAGTGCTTCAGCAGGCCGGAGGGATGGGCACCTCCAGGCATGAAGCCGCCCAGTGGTGAACGCGCACAAGGTGGTGCTGTGCAAGGCTCAGGTGCACAAGGTGAAGGTGCACAAGGTAATGCCTATCCTGGGATGTTTCTCATGGTTGAGGATGTGCATGGGCATGAGGGTGATGTGGGATCTGTGGGAAAGGTTGTGATGCACCCTCTCACGCACTGGGTGATTGATTCGGGTTGCACCAGTCACATGACCCCACGGGCAGATTTGCTTGATGAGGTAAAACCCCCTGGGAAGATCAAGTATGTGGCAGCAGCGTCAGGTGCTTTGCTCCCTGTCATTGGTGTTGGAAATGCCAAGGTTAAGGGAGCTAATGGGGAGCTTGTGGGGCTTGGGAATGTTCTGCTGGTTGAAGGCTTGTCTGCTAACCTTCTCTCTGTGCGACGACTGCAGAAGAGCAAGGCCGAAGTGACCTTTGGACCAACCAGCTGCCGTGCTAAGCTTGGGAAGAAGGTGCTGTGGAGTCTGGAAGAGGAGACCAGCTGCATCAAGGACCTATGGCAGCTGCCCATCATCCCTTGGAATGGGAAGACTCCAACAACAGCAACGGCAGCAGCGGCAAAGGCAACAGCAGGAGGAGATGCAACTGCACCAACTGATGGGGTCCTGGAAGCAGTTAAGAAAGTGCAGCAGCAGCAGACACATGGTGAGGTGCTTGCTGGTGTGGATGCGAGTGCGGCATGGGCTAAGGCTTGATCAAGGAGTGGAGAGGCCGATTGGGAGACATGGCATGAGAGGCTGTGTCATGTGAACTTCCCTATGCTGCAGAAGTTGGTGAAGGATGGGAGCCTGAAGGGCTTGGAGGTGAAAGGGGGAGTGAAGGAGATTGGGAGCTGCCCTACATGCTTGGAGACCAAGTTCTCCAAGTTCCCCTTCAACAGCACTACAGGACCAGCCAAGACCCCACTTGCACTTGTGCACATGGATGTGGTGGGGCCCACAAGAGCCCCTTCCCTCTCAGGCAGCCGCTATTTCTTGACAATTGTAGATGACCACACTCGGGCAGTGTGGGTTTACCCTTTGAAGAGCAAGAGGGAGGTGGCAGCGGCTGTCCTTAAGGAGTGGATGCCTAGAGCTCAGAGGGAATGCGGACACAAGGTGAAGGTGATCCGCAGTGACAATGGTGGGGAGTTCATTGGAGCTGATTTTGAGGGGGAGTTGAAGAGGAAGGGGATCCAACATCAACTGACAGTGCCCTACAAACCGCAGCAGAATGGCGTGTCTGAGAGGTTCAACAGGACCCTGCAGGAGGGGGCACGCACTCTCCTTGGGCGTGCAGGGCTGCCTGATCCGTTTTGGGTGTCTGCACTGAGGCAGGTCGCCCTTGTGAAGAACAGGGTGCTGGCTACAGTTGGAGATAAGGAGTGGATCCCATATGTCAAGTGGTATGGGAGTGCTCCAGCTGTGAACATGCTGAGGGCATTTGGGTGCATGGTGGTGTTTCATGTGCCTAAGGAGAAAAGGGGGAAGTTGGAGGCTTCTGGAAGATGGGGTGTGCACTTGGGGATTGCAAAGGATCACAAGGGGTGGCTGCTATGGGACTTGACCACCCAGAAGTTGACAGTGTCAAGGGATGTGAAGTTTCTTGAGTCCCTGTACTACAAGGAATGGAAGCAGCAGCAACAGAAGCTTCCATCTACACCGCTCATTGTGGAGGCAGATGAGGTGCAGCGGCCTTCAAGACAGGTGGAGGTTGCAGTGTCTGAGGAGGAGATGTCTGGGGTGACTGAGGAAGGGGGAGCAGCTGAAGTGGAGCAGCAGCAGCAGCAGCAGCAGCATGAGTCTCCACCTCGAGTTCCACACCCGCCTGAGCGACCTAGGAGGGATGTGCGCCCTCCTGTGAGGCTGACCTATAGGGGAAGAGGCAAGCCAAATGTGGTGCAGGCTGGGAGTGTGGTTGAGCAGATTGAGGAAGATGAGATTGCATTATGCTATTGGGCTGCAATTCCTCAACCCAAGGTACTGACGCTAGCTTCAACTCAGTAAAAGCGGATGGCACCAGCATTGGGGGTTATGTGTGCTTGCTAGGAGGTGGTGCTGTGAGCTGGCGCAGCAAGAAGCAGAATGAGGTGGGATTGTCCTCATGTGAGACTGAGTACATGGCCTTACACCATGGGGCCAAGGAAGTAGTGTGGCTAAGGCGTTTGTTGGAGGAGTTGGGAGTTGGTCAGGAGAAGCCGACAGTTGTGTTTTGTGACAATGAGTCCGCTGTGAAGCTCGCCAAGAATGCTTGTCTGCATGGGCTGACAAAACACATAAGGCCTAAGTGGCATTGGGTGAGGAGACTCCTTGATAAGGAGGTGCGGCTGGAGATAGTGAAGACCCATCAGCAGGCAGCAGATATTTTCACCAAGCATCTGGCGGAGGCGGATCATTGGAAGGGCATGAAGCTTGCTGGGATGAGTGTGCATTGAGTATGCATGCTTGAGCTGTTGGTATGGTGGATGATGGTTGGCAGCCAGAGGGGGAGATTGTTGTGTGATGTCATCATATGCTATCACATTCTGTCTGCCTCTCATCTCTTGTTTTCAACTTGCATGTGTGGCTTGAATGTGTGCAAGAATTTGTGTGTGATGTGTTCTGGAGTTTGGGAATGTGTTTTGTGTTATTTTTGTTTGAGCAGGTATTTGTGATGATAGATCTTGAGAAGATCTTTCCGACGCAACGAGAATCCCTTCAATCGGAGCAAGAACGCGAAAGCTATGAAGATTCAAAGTTCTTGAGCTTGCGTTACAATTGCGGCGGTTACAAAGTGAAGTTGTGGGGTGACTCACAATGGAGTTGGGACCTTTGGGGTTGGGGAAATTTGTCACTCTACTGTAACAGCTGCAAATTGGTTGGGAACAACCAAGCTAGGTTGGCAAGGGTGGCCAACTTGGATGGATTGGTTGGGAAGGGACAAATGTCAAAGTTGGGGTTCCTATAGGGAGGGAATCTTTGTGCTTATGGGGTTCCCTTGGTTGGGGACTCTCTTGGGACCTTCCCTCTCGTCCCTCTCTTTCTATCCCAACCTTTCTCTTGCTCCTCTAATTCCTTGTGAGATTCTTGAACTTTGATTGAACTCTTGAGATTGAGTTAAGTTCTCCTCCTACAGCTTACCCCCTAGTGCGTCGAAAGCCATAGCGTCGCGAATACTTCATCAATCAACATGATTCAAATTGGGAACGGTAGCTGAGATTAAGAGATACAACATATCCAAGTTTCGCGACATTCCAACGGCTATTTTTTCGTCGACGTCGTTTCTTGTGAAGACGACTTTTCTGTCCAGAATTTCGGATTTATATTTTGAGTAATTCTAGCTCCTAAGTTCACCTAGACTCCGTCCTTAATCCTAACAGGCTCGTCGACCTCCGTCGGCACCTGACAGGTCAGCGCCAGGATGGGCACTCCCTAGCTATGCATGTTGATGGTTTGCTTCCCCGTCCCCCTGCGCCTGATCCCCTCCCTGCTGACCCTACCACTGCTGAGAGCGAGGCTTTAACTGCTTCTGCACTTGCTCGAGCTGTCTGGGATTCTCCCGACGCAGTATCCCAGTTTGCCATTAGCCATGCCCTCCCCCTGTCTGAGCGTCCGCGCTTTACCGCTGTCACGAACGCCAAGGACTTTCTCGCTGCAGTAGTTGAGCGTTACTCCACACTTGCTTCCGCCTCTGCTGGCCGCTTGATCCTACCCATGCTCTTCCTTGATCTTTCTGCTTTCCCCACGGTAGCTGACCTCGCTACTCACCTCCGTGCACTAGAGACCAGCTACCGCGCTGCTAGCTCTGCCGTCCAGCTTACTGCCTTCCCCCCACCTTTCTGCGCTACCCTGTACCTCATCGCCATGCGCCTGCGTAACCGCTTAGCCACTGCCCGCGACCACTTCCTTAGTTAGCACCCTGCCGACCTCACCCTGACCGCATTTGTCACTACTCTGACTGAGATAGAGACTCGCCAGAGCACTACGCTCAGTCGAGTGGTGTTGTGGCAGTCCCTATCTTTCAGGGCTGTGCCCCCTCCCAGTGCACGTACGCCGACGTCTCCGCCGCAGTTGCCACGACTGCGCCTGCACCTGAGACAGCAGCTGTGGCTTACCCGCAACAGCGCCAGCGCCGGGGCCGCCGTGGCCCCAAGGGAGGACGTAGAGGTGGTGCTAGTGGTGGTGGTGACGAGGACAGTGGTTCTGATGAGGGGGTTGGTGCTGGTGCCCAAGAGCAGCAGCAGTCGTTGCAGTCGCAGCCGCCACAGCAGCAGCCGCAGCAGCAGCCGCAACAGCAGCAGCAGCAGCCGTGGGCTCGTCTCCCGCCCGGGTGGCAAGGAGCCCCTGGCGGTGGTGGTCGTGGTGGTGGCCCTCGCAGCTTGGCGTCCACCGGCAGCTTCGGTGCTGTGAGCTGCCAGTACCAGCTTCAGACCGGGCGGCTGCGTGGCACGGTGTGCCGCCGCTCGCACCCCACGGCCCGCTGCTTTCGCCGCCTCGACGACCTCATCCGTCGCCGCTTCGGTCCCGCCCTGGACCTCCTTGACTGGCCCAACCTGCTGCGCCACGGTGTGCCTATATTTGACTTAGACATGGATCAGATTAGTTTTGTCTTGCATTCTCTGTATGCTGATGCTTCGAGTGTTTCCGGATTGTATTACTCTGTGTTCTCTAGCTTATGCGTAGCACCTGTATGTAGTCTAGACTCCCCTGCTGCGTCAGGCGTAGGATCCCCTTCTCTGTTTAGCCTTGGCTCCTCCCTCGCTTCTTCGGCCCCGGCCACCACTGCCACGCTCTCCTTTACCCTGGAATCCAGCGCGGTGCGTAGGACAGCTTGCTTTGTCTAGCCTAGGCTCTACCCTTGCTTCTTCGTCGTCGGCCACTACGGCGTCGCTGTCCTTCACTCTAGACTCCGGTGCGTCAGCCTGTTTCTTCCACGACCACGCTACCCTCACGCCACTTGCTGCGCCTGCCGCTGTCGCCCTTGCGGACCCCTCCTCTGGTCCCGTAGTTCCTCGCAGCAACACTACCCTTCCCTGTCTGGCGGTTCCGTCGGGTTCCCTTCAGGCCTGCACATCCCTTCGTTCTCCAGGAACTTAGTTGGTCTCGGCTGTCCTCAGGACCTCGGCGTCACCACTACGTTCCCTGGTCACGAGCGGTACGCGGTCTGTTCCGAGGCCGCCTCAGGTGCCCCCCTTGCGACGTTCCCCCGGGACCCTGTATCTGGCCTGTTTACACTGGACACTGCTCCCCCCCCGGCGGGCGAGTCCTCCCACGGTGTCTCCTCCTCCCTCGTTGCATTCGCCACCGCAGCCGCCGCCGTAACCGCCGCCGCAACCGCAGCAATCGTCGCAGCCGCAGCCGTTCATGGACTCTGGGGGTGCTGGAGTTGGAGAGGGTGCTAGTCCTGGGGCTCCTTTCGTGGCTTGTCCCGATGGGCTCGGGGGTGGCACCGGCGCTGGAGACGTTTCTCGTTCTGGGGGTGCTGGCGTGGAGTGTACCGGAGTAAGCAGTGGTGCAGCTGGTGGTCCAAGTGTCAGCGTTGAGCAGCTGCAGCAGCAGTCGCCGCAGGTGTCCGCCCTTCGCCTACTCGGCCTTCCCTCCCCTGACCGCTCGCTTGCGCCTCCCTTGCCGTCTCCCCCTCTTCCTGTTCACGGTCCTGTGTTTCCTCCGCCGGACTCATCCCTGGCTCGTTTCCCCTCTCGTTCCCCTCCTGTTACTCCTACTCTGTCTCCTGACACGACGCCTCCGTCTCGCGTCTGGTCTCGCCGTCCCTCTCGTGCTCGTCCTGTCTCTTCTGTTCAGCATTCTCACCCTATGTTGCTTCGTTCCCACGCGTCTTGTCCTTCCCATTTGCCTTCGCCTCCTCCTCCATCGTCGCTCAATATCGCGCCTCCCCCTCTGTCTGAATACCTTCGTGCTGCTCATCCTCTTGTTCCTCGGGTCCTTGCCTCCCTCGTTACCGACCCGTCTGTTCCTGTCCCCAGTCTTGATGCTCTTCTCGCTGCTGTCGCTGACTTTGCCTCCACTTGACGCCTTGACTTCGCTACCGCTCTGGTCTCTGACCCTGTTTGTCCTCCGTCCGTCGAGGGTGCTCCGGCCCTCGGCACTGACGTCTTGGAGGACCAGCAGTACGAGCTTGCTTTCCTTTCCGAGGCTGCTCCCCATCTCTGTTCCATGCTGCTAGTTCCTGAGGGTGACCCCGACACCTTTGACATCCCGACCCCTCGCACCTACGCTGAGGCGACCTCGGGACCCTGGGCCTCTCAGTGGATAGCTGCCATGGAGCAGGAGATGGCATCTTGGAGGGCTACCAGCACCTACGAAGACGCAGTTCCCCCACCTGGGGTGAACGTAATCGATGGCCGCTGGCTCTTCAAGGTGAAGCGCCTCCTGGAGAACCGCCTGTCTTCAAGGCACGCTACGTGGCTAGAGGCTTCAGTCAATGAGAGGGGGTGGCCTTCTTTCAGACCTTCGCCCCGACCGCGAAGATGACTACTCTTCGGGCGCTGCTACACGTAGCAGCACAGCTTGACTACGAGCTTCACTCCCTCGACTTCTCCACTGCTTTCCTTCAGGGCAGCCTACACGAGCAGGTCTACCTGCACCGCCCTCAGGTCTTCACCGGTACTTTCCCTCCTAGGACCCAGTGGCTCCTCCGGCGCCCTGTCTACGGCTTGCAACAGGCGCCCCGTGAGTGGCACGACACGCTGTGTGCCACGCTAGATGACCTGCAGTTCTTTCCGTCCTCTGCTGACCCTTCGCTCTTCGCTCGTGCTGGCCCGACTCCGTTCTACATCCTTGTCTACATAGACGACCTGGTCTTTGCTACTGCAGACAGAGACGCGCTGGCCTCTGTAAAGGCTGAGCTGCTGAGGCGACACACCTGCACTGACCTGGGAGAGCTGCGCCACTACCTTGGCCTGCAGCTCTCCAGGGACAGAGCAGCGCGCACCATCACCCTTACACATTCACACTTGGTGTGCCAGGTCCTTCAGAGGTTCGGTCTTCAGTTCTCCTCCGCACAGCCCACACCTCTGCCGGTAGACCACAGGCTCTCAGCTCCTGTTCCTGAGGAGTCAGCAGAGCCCAGCGGTCCTTACGCAGAGCTGGTGGGTTGCCTCATGTACCTGATGACTTGCACTCGCTCAAATCTCGCATACCCTCTCAGCATCGTGGCCTGCTTTGTGGCCACAGGAAGACACCAACCACATGACTTGTCGGCCGCTAAGAGGGTTTTGCGTTATCTTGCAAGTACATCAGGCATGGGGCTAGTGCTGGGAGGACGCAGGCCAGTGGTCCTTACTGGGCACACAGACGCTTCTTGGGCAGATGACGTTGAGACCCTCCGGTCCTCCCAGGGCTACTGCTTCAGCCTTGGTTCTGGTGCCATCTCGTGGAGGTCCACACGCTCCTCGTCTGTTGCTCAGTCTAGCTGCGAGGCTGAGATCTACGCTACTGCCATGGCGGCACAGGAGCTCCGCTGGCTGACCTTCTTCATTGCCGACTTGGGTGAGCGGCCTAGCTCTGCCCCGGTTCTGTACGCTGACAACAGGGCCATGATCCTCCTGTGTTAGGAGCCGCGCCCCCCCCCCCCCCCTGGGGCCCCGTCGCGCCTCCTAGCCTCGTCGCGCCTCCTAGCCCCGTCGCGCCCCTCCTGGGCCCCGTCGCGCCCCCTAGCCCAGTCGCGCCCCTCCTGGGCCCCGTCGCGCCCCCCTAGCCCCGTCGCGCCCCTACTGGGCCCCGTCGCGCCCCTCCTGGGCCCCGTCGCGCTCCCTAGCCCCGTCTCGCCCCTCCTGGGCCCCGTCGCCCCCCCTAGCCCAGTCGCGCCCCTCCTGGGCCCCGTCGCGTCCCCCTAGCCCCGTCGCCCCCCTTCTGGGCCCCGTCGCGCCCCTCCTGGGCCCTGTCACGCCTCCTAGCCCCGTCGCGCCCCTCCTGGGCCCCGTTGTGCCTCCTAGCCCCGTCGCGCCTCCTAGCCCCGTAGCGCCTCTCCTGGACCCCATCGCGCCCCCTAGCGCCCCTCCTGGGCCCCGTCGTGCCCTGCCTGGCCCCGTCGCGCCCGCTCAGCCCCGTCGCGCCCTGCCTGGCCCCGTCGCGCCCGCCTGGCCCCGTCGCGCCCGC